GTCTCCTTTTACGTGAAAGAATAATGGTGTTGGTGCCAGCAGTAACTGAAGGAAGGTGTAGGAAAGGATTTTGGGCAGAAAATAAAGATTTCATTATTATTCTAATTAAATTGAAGAGGAGACGGGTTTTGAATGCATAAATGGCATTGTAGGAAGAGAAAGTTTCCCTACCAAACTTCTTCCCTCTCCCCACCAAAAGTGCTCTAAAAACATTGCATTAGAGAGATACAAAAAGAACTATGAATGGGGCAGAAAAGCTACAGGAAGACAAAAATTAAAGGGAGCATGATTAACAGTATCAATTACAGCTAAGACGTCAAGAAGCCTGTACTAGAAGAGAAGGCCTGCCTTTGGCTATGGAGAGATCACAAACATAGTTATGGTGTGAACGGATGAAAGCCAGGATGGACAGGAGGGGAGATGAAACTGTAGAAGGGGAATGCAGTGCATTTGAGGAGTCTGGAGGGGAAGCAGAAAGGAGGTGGAGGAGCAGCAATGGAAGAGCCAGAACAGCAGGACCAGAGTATGAATGTGTTGTGAATGCAAACAATACTACAGCATTTTGAAAGATGATCTGGTTTTTCTCATCCCTTCTGACTGTTTTTTGAGAGAGAAATTTTACACAATAGGGCCCTGTTACACATTAATTTTTGGGCCCCTGCTGGAGCTCTTAACCCCTGGACTGTCAGCACATTAACACCTTAAAGTGGTTTGAAACAATCATTATGCAGCTCAAAATTATGCCACTCCAGGGTAGGATTCTCTCTTAGTCTGCATAACCCAGCCACTCACTGCTCAAATTGAAGGTGCGACTGCAAGCTAGCACTAAGCTGATCAACATTTGTGCGGCTCACAGTGTAACAGGTAACAAGCCCTAATGGTTGTTGCAGTGCTGAGAATAAAATATGGGATTTTAGCTTGTGAATCACCCTCCCAAGCCTTAAACATAACCTTCCTCATAGAAGTGCTGGCAAATAGAGTACTTTTGCAGGACCTGAGATAGTTTGCTTTAGCACACTTTCATAGCATTTTTCCCACTGGAAGTTTGGTCACATTATAGCATTTTACTTGGAGTGTTCAATAATGAAATATTCATGTGAAATATACAGGGCTGTAATTGATTGTAAATGAAACAATATTTTCCACACAAGGGAAAGAGGAAGCTTGGTACCTAATGGTTTATAATAGGCCTTTTTAATAACATAAGAAAAACTTACTTACTGTCACATTTCATCCCTTGATGAATAAGTCCATAAAGCAATGACCCACAATGGTCACAAAAAGTTGGGCTTCCATATGTGTGGATTTTAAACTTGTGCTTGCTTCGGGGATCCTAAAGAGGAAACAGAAACAGATTCTTATTTTTCTTTGGTAAAACTGCCAAATAATGTTTCATGTTCAATAGTTTATGGAGCAGAAAAAAATATTACATATACTGCAATACACAGCATATTCAGAGTACGTGCTGAGTTCAATGAACATGGATAATAGGCTTGTTGTTGCTATCAGTTTGCACAAAGTACATATTTAAAGAGGAGCATTATATGTACTGAATTCAGACTTCAGTGACTATGACATTTACTGAATATCTTTTTAGAAGCTGTGAGTAGTTATATTTAATAGCAGTCATTGCTAGTCACACCTAAATGAAGATATACATTACTGTGTGTTTGTCTCTGTGTCTCGCTCTCATGGAAGCTTCTTGCAACACTAAAGTGAACATTTTAATCTGAACAACAAGGAAATCAGGTTCTTAAAGACAACACAACATTTGAGGTTGTAAATTTATAATTATTATTACTGAAAAATATAGTGAATGAATTTAAACTTAGCATCTGGTAAATATTTTATTTAGACCTTTATTCCTGACGGAGTTTCCAACTGAGAAATTAATAGCGATCAGACATTTTAATGTCAAACCTGCAGTTTGGGCAAGGGTTCTCAATTTAGGACTGGTGACATGCAATACAACCAAACTACTTAAAAAGAAAAAAAAATTACACTATGTTTCTGAACACAAAAGCCAAGATTTTCAGCAAGTGCTAAGGATCCATGGTTACAGTAGGAGTAGAAGTCACCATGCATCTTTAACATTTGGTCCCAACAGACCTAATCAGATGCAAATACACAAATTCAATGGTTTTGCTTGTATTTACAGGTATAGCTCTCTATACACTTATACTGTATCAACAGACACACTTGCACATGCCCAACTCCTCCCCTCCACCCTGGAAAACCCCCAAAGCTTGAAGAGTTCTATTATCAGACATAACATCCAAGAAAATATTGTGCTACCACATTACTGTAATATTTTGAAATCATTCACGGTCAGGTTTAGCTATGCTGCGACTCCACTGACTTAAACATATGCAGATTTATGAAGCACAAGAACACCCTGTCTGTAAAAATAACTAAGCCCCGACTTTCAGCCAACATTGTGGCCATTTCCCCATCTACTGCAGAATGACTTTGATTTGAAATCAAGAATTCAGCATTTGATACCAATATTGCCAATATTGTGTTTTTCATCTTTTTTGCTCTATGCTCTGACTAAATGCAAATAAAGGGATTCTACCATTCTAATTCTTTTTAGAATTATCAGACCCCTAATAAATGCTTAATTGTCACAAAAGAACTCCCTTGACAGCAAACAATTCTGAATTCGTTGCAATTTCCTCTATTTGCGAGATACACCCTGTATAAAAAGTTCTCTTTTATTCTTTATGAGTTGTCCTATATAACCTTCTCCTATACTCCCTTAGGGTAGCTGCATTATTTACCCGAAGAATAAGAACCAAAATTAGAAGAACGTAGAACATACAATTGTGTTGTATGTTTTTGGCAAAAACTATAAATTATATAATTTTACTGTTCGTTTTATTGTATGCTCCTAGCAAAAGCTGTAAATAAATAACTACTTCCACTACTACTACATTTTTGTACTGGTTTCCCAGATGACTATATGCAGAGTATTATCATATTGTCAGAAAAAATTAACACATCAACATAAAACCATGCTTGCCAATAAAGGTCATCTCAGAATTTGAAATGCACATTTGAAGAACAGAATGCAAAATAGTACAGTGTTCCCTTATTAGAACAGAAAACATGCTTCTAATGCAATCATTTTATTCAATAAAGAAAAAATTCAGGAATGACCAAATTGTGAATATAAAACTGAGTTTTACAGCAACACTTAGTTATATTTCCTTTATAGTTTAACATAATAGCATAAAGCAATATGCCTTTTTGCTTAGTTTTTCAATGTTTCTTTTCCATATAGGAGTTTCTATTCCATATGGGAGTTTTGTTTGGTCTTTTTACATCTTTATCAAAAAAGGAATATTGCTGAAAACTTCAATTTCAGTATCTGATTTCTTCTCTAGATTAAATTTATTCTCCAAGAAGATAACTGAAGACCATCCAATACCAAATTCAAGATGCTCATATATTTCAGTCTGTGTGTTTTATTTTAGAGTCTAAAACATGAAATGCAAAGAAGTGCTATATACACAACAACATTTATTTTGTAAACATGTTAACTGACACTGAACAACCCTCAAATTGCTGCAGAGAACATCTGTTTTTTCTTTATCAAAAATACAGAGCCCTGTGATGCTGGTCATGGGAACATGGCTTTTCAGAAAGGTTGCCTGAAGATCAGAATCAGATGTCACCATCCAAAAGAAGGAAGTGTCCAGTAATTTCTAAACCATTTAAATTAAAATGTCAATGTTAACTCTTCACTGGTGTTTCTGGTGAAGAGGAGGAGAAAGAGTCTACATTGGTTAAACTTCAATATATGTTTACCCCTTATTTTAATATACACGTCTGTTGCTAAGAAGGACAATAAATGCAGTTTTTGAATGACACTGAACAACCCCCTTTTCAAGTTCTATCAAACATCCGCCATAAAGAATTTTTATAACTGTAAAGTGAGCATTGGCAACTAATCCCTCTACTCTGGAAATCTTATGCACTACACATAATGGTAGTCATCTACTGACTCTAGTAGCTACATATGCTTTAGTGAGCAAATGTCAGATAGTCAATTTTTTCCCTATACTTTTTGTCTACCACTCCAATTTTCTTTAATTCAGGTCAGACAAATTCTTTATAGAGTTTAATTACTAGTTTGCAAATAGGCTGTTTGAATTTTCAGTTAACTTCATTATTTAATCATAGTAGCTTGTTTTAGATATGTTTTAAAGCACTCAATTTGTAGATATGTGAAAAGCTGTTTGATATTCGCGTTATACTAAAACTGCAGGTGGATAATTAAAATGGAGCATCACGATCGCTCTTCGCAGACTGAAATTTTGAAATACCCTTTTGTTTGTCTTTTTGCTATTTGCTTTTTTTTTTTTAATTTTGTTTTCATTTGGTTGGTAGGTGATTATTGTACATGAATGGATTATGCAGCTTATTTTCAGCTGATTCAATATTGTAAATACCCACATAACTACACCATAGAGTAAAACATTATCAAGAAAATATGACAATATTACGCAAATTTGGGGATAAGTTTCATTTTTTTAATATCCACAGGAAACTATTATTTATTGTTATACAAAATCAGGCAGAAGCAAATGAGATCAGAATTTGCCTTTGTCTTCTCACCAATGAAACACTATAAAACTACATTAACTGTGGTATGGTATATAAATATTTGTGACTGAATCATGCAAACACTTGCATGGACCTAAACTTCAAACAGGAATTATATATATATATATATATATATATATATATA